ATATATATATATATATATATATATATATATATATATATGCATCCGGCCTGATAGATTCAGCTACCCGTACGTTCTTAAGGCTTGTGGCGACGTGCTTGACCTGGGGTTTGGGAAGGAAGTGCACAGGTGAATTAATGAGAGCTGCATGGAGTGGAACATTTTTGTCCAGAACGCGTTGATCGCAATGTATGCAAAGTGTGGCGCCTTAGGTTTTGCGAGGAAGCTGTTTGACGAAATGCCGGAGCGAGATGTGGTGTCATATGGTGTTAGGGTATCCATCTCGGCTAATGTGGGAGAAAGCATTCCAATTGTTCGAGCAGATGAGAGCGGAGGGCTCAGAGGTGAATAGCGTTATGTGGAACACGATCGTCGGTGGTCATTTGCAAAGGGGCAATCCTAGAGAAGCATTGAGATTGATCTCTGAGGTGACCACGCATGGGTTTGAGGCTGGCTTTGTGATGCTGGTCATCAGTCTGAGTACTTGGTTCTCATGTTGGATTTTTACAATTGGGGAAAGAGATTCATGGGTTTCCTTCTCGTTGCTGCAGTGATGGGATTGAGAGCGTCCGCAATGCATTCATTACAATGTACTTGAAATGTAAAGACATGGAGCATGCTTGCCTTTTGTTTCAAATGGCCAAAATGAGGAGTTTGGTCGCATGGAATACAATGATTGCCGGCTTTCACCTGTCAGGCCAAGCAGAGGAAGCTTCTTTCATTTTCTGAGACATGGTGCACTCAGGAGAACCTCCATACCTCGCCTTATGTGCCTGTGTTACAAACCTTCAGCATGGGCGGGAGTTGCACTGCTACATTATTAAACATGATTTCAAGGGATTCCTATTACTCTGGAACTCCCTTATTGACAAGTCGTGAAGAATCTTACTTGCCAGAAGGGTCTTCGACTTGCTGACCAACCGTGATCAGGTGTCATACACTTCAATGATAGCAGGTAATGGAATTCAAGGTGAGGGAACTGTTTCCTTGAAACTTTTTAATCAGATGATTGACAGTGGGATCAAACCTGACCACATAAATATGGTGGCGGTCCTCTCAGCTTGTAGCCACTCTGGGACTTGTGTCCCAGGGTCATAAGCTCTTTAAAATGATGATTGACTCATATGGCATTGCGCCACAGATGGAGCACTACTCTTGCATGGTTGATCTATTTGCTCGAGCTTGTTTGGTTAAAAAGGCAGAGGAATTTCGTAATAAAGCTCCACTACTGCCGACAGCTGCAATGTGGGCAGCTCTTGTTGGGGCATGCCAGGTATATGAGAACACTGAGATTGGAGAAAGAGCTGCAAAGAAGCTCCAAGAGATGGGGACGGACAATTCTGGGCACTATGTTGATTGCTAACTTGTATGCAGCTGCTGGATGTTGGGATGATCTTGCAAAGGTGAGGACAATGATAAGGGAGGGACTTCTGTGTTAGAAAGTCACCCGTTTTGGCTCAGACCAATTGAGGGAATGGATTTCATCCTTTCCTAGTGGGGGATAGATCTATGAGGTGTTGGATATATTAAATGGGCAAATGAGTGATCCTGGGTCAATTGAAAATTTGGATTTGGGATTTGCTGAGGACATTGAAGGGTGAGAGAGAAACAGGGTTCAGGTGAAATATCATCCCCTAGCTTCTTTAAGTAACCTGTCTATGGAGACTAGAGTTGAAGAATTCTTACAATTACTCTCTGTCCAAGAATTCAAAATCAATGGTCAACATGGGCAATACATAATGTGAGCATGTGCACATATTGAACCTTAGGATTGCTCATTGGCATACTGACCAATAATAGACAACTCATCACAGATTCACAAGCAGTGCAGTGAAAAGTACCAGTTGGACTCAATATAATCGAATAAATTGCTGCAAATAAGTCTCTTTGATTAGAGAACATAAATTTGTTTGTCAGCTGAGTGCTACTTAATGGCTAATCTGAGAGTCTCTACAGTAGAAATGCAAAGCATTTACTCCCTCATAATCTGGTTCTGGTTATGTAAAAATTGCTAATCAATAATGCTTACTTGTTTGGCTCAAGCTGACACAATCTACAGAAATAGTGGCACTCAAACAATGGATAGCTTCATCTTGCAGGGGTCCATACTGAAGAGGTGGGAGTTCAAATATTCAGTGAATTGTGCTAGTCATTTATATCATGGTCTTGTGATTATTTCAAATTTGTCATTATTTACGGCAACGGATAGCCTCATCATGGTCTTATATGAATGTCATGGCAATATTGATTGATTAATGTTTATTCTGCCATTTTTACCGGACATGTTAAAGAAATTGGCCACAGTTAGTGGAATGACAAGCAGAATAGGACTAAAAGCTTCTTGGTGTTTTGCTTTGAATTAAAAATGACGAAATAAGCCTTTGGATGTGAATAGCAAATGTAAAAGCTTGAAAAGAACAGTGGCACATGTTATTGGGCCAGCAAAGTCAAGGTGCTGATTGTTGAGACATGGAGTATCTGAATATAAGATTTTTCTTGGAAATTTTTTGTTTTGATGAGTCCTAACGCTTTGGTACACTACGTTTTACCTCGTTTTTCATCTATGTTGATCATCATCTCAAATTGCCAACTTTTTACCAATTAATTGAAGTATTGTTTGTTTTGAATGTCCAGGTATATTGACCAACCTGCTATGAACACTTCTACCTCCAATGATGGAACTGAGTCCCTAAACCACTAGAGGTAACCAAAAATGCTTTCTTTGATGCTTTGCTTATTGTCCAACTAGCATCAATTTTGTTTATTTATTTTCAAATTTTTACCATATAACATTTCTACTTTGTAATAGACTTATTTTATCATTTCCAGTTTTCTCTCTTTTTTTCAATTAAACAGAATTAATTTATTTTTTTGAGTTTGAATCAAATTAAAATCAATGTCATAATATTTTTGGATTGACTAACACCTTTTTTTTCTGGTGTAACACTGTTTAAAACCACTGTAGCTGCACCTTAAGATCTATAATCTCTAAACTGATAATGTAATGTAACCTATCGAGTCCCTAGTTGGTCCTATATATTTATAGGCATAAGCGGAGGGGTATAGGATAAGTAACTATGAGACTCCCTCCCATCAAAATCATCTCCTAAGAAATCCTATTATAATTATATATTCTTTCTATTGGTCAATAATCGTAATCAGAATCCAATCAGGTCTGTAATATATCTTACTCAATTAAACAGGATCATATAATCTAACAGGCTTAGGTTAGTGCTATCTCATCTCTTCTTTTCTTTGCTTTGTGTTCTTCGACCATTCTTATGTTTTAGGGGCTTCATTTATGTGTATTGTTCAATTAGAGCTGCGGAACATCGCTTTGTCTCTTGTTAGATAGATTTCCTTTTCTTCATTTATTCAGTCTTCTGGCAGGTAATTAGCTTCATTTGAGTAGCTAGAGATAAGCTAGTTTTGTTTTGCATATTGAGAATGACTTGTCACTAAGATTCTGTTAGTTTCACTGAACCTCACCATGTGCATGGTAGAATCAAGGTAATTGTTCAAAATTGTCTTCTACGTATACAATGTTCATATGGTGGTTGTTGTTATTATTATTACTTTATAATGTTCATGTGATTATTACCCACCTGAAGCAGCATAACATTTGGCCACCCTTTGAAGTGTTTGGAAGATTTTGCTTGTGAATGGGTAAATTTTTAATTGTGGATGATAATATTGATCCTTGCTGGGTTGATCTTTTCCAATTATATCTTTTATGGTGATTATATTAACTCGTTGGACCTTCTGTTTCCCTGAATGCTTTAAATTGCTTTGGTGCCATGATCCTGAAGGTGGACTTTATAGATTGGCGGACTGGACTATTCTAAGTTTGTTCATGTGTTCAAGTCACATAGTTGGAGATGGGATCTTATATTTTACAAGTTACATGCATTTGTGAAGTTTGGACAAAAACTCGAGCTTCCTTATCATGGACCTTAGATCAGTTTTGAGTATCTCGAGGATTTCTAAGTTATAGTTGCAATTTGGTGGAGCTTAAGTGAAATTGCTAGGCTTAGTCTTTTTAGAAGGACAGCGCTTCTCCACCATAGCATGGCAGAGGTACATTTGCAAGTTCTACATACTCTTCAATCTTGGGTTTTCAGAACCTTCCTTCATT